GTCCACATGCCGCACGTTTGACGCAACACAAGAATATGGAGTTGGGTTGGGAAGTTCTCCCTCCCCCACCATATTCTCCAGATTACCCCCATCAGATTACCATCTTTTTCGTTCGCTGCAACACCATCTTAATGGGAAAACGTATGCAAATGTTGAAGGTGTTAAAAAGAACATCAATATTTTTTGCTTCAAAGCGAAGTGATTTCTTTAATCAGGGCATTAACAACCTGCTTGTAATATATAAAAGCATCATCGATAAGAATGGAGACTATTTCATTTGCTAAATGTATTGTTTTGATATACAAGTTGTTCGGGTTTTTTCATCTAAAAAAAACGATATTAATTTCTTGACGACCTACTGCTTACAAAGACAATCATGGTGGGTGACCTTTGGCTTGGGCTGTCTGCCTTTCTGGATTCTGTAAACTATATAATTGATTCTTTTCAGTGCAACATATGGCCCTTCCCAACACTAGCTTAACTTTGGAGTTCATTCTCTCCTACAGTAAAAATTGTACTGCTATCCCATATCATCTAGATGTAATACAGTCTATCAGCTTTAACATCATTGTGACTTTCTTTTTATCATTGACTGATTTAAGTATTTTCTAGGTAAGGCCATGTATGACATCAATAATGTTCCTTAATATCACTGCATATTCTGTATAAGACTCTACTGAATGACTGTCCTCTGGATGTGAATACAAAAGTTCCAATGACACTTTAAGTTCTCTCTCAAACATCAGTGGTGATGGTGTGTTGCATGAAGCTTCATGTACTGTCAATCGATAACAAATAAGTAGCAGTGAAATATCTTGACCCAATTTTTTTATATTCATCCACATCAATGGCTAATCGATCTAAAAGTGTATGTTTGTATCTCTGTACCATTTCAAAAAATGGATGAATGGCTGTTGTCCTGGTATTTCTATTTTCAGTGATCTGACATATTTCTGCAAACAAGGCTGATTCAAAGTTCCAGAAGCACTCAAATTACTTGAAATGAATTTATTGATGAACTATCTTGCTACAGTTTTTGTACCCTCGTTAGGAACTATATATGCTTCCGGTCCTGGCCATTTAGTGAAATAGTTCATCACAACCATGATGTATTATTTTCCACTGTTACTCTGTAGCAGAGGACCTAGCACATTGACAGTAACTCTCTCAAGCAGTGTTCCTATACAGTTACCTATGCTATTTCTTTTATGGTCCTTTCTGTTCACAGAATAGTTCACACGACTCACACTGAACAGTTACAGATTCCCAGCACCAATTCAACAAAAACATTCTATTTCTCTCTCCAATGTCTTCTTAACACCTAAGTGTCCAGCTGTTGGAAGGTTGTCGAAATGGTGGAGTGCTTCAGAATGTAGAGACTGTGGAAGCACCAACTGTTGTTATTGTATTCATCTGCTGGTATCTTTCCATTTCTAGCATAACAAGTCACCTTGTTGGCACAATGAATCTCACTGTGCCCAGTACATCTATGTCTTTGGGTTGTATGGAACAACTGTTCACAACGAGGTTTTCCTGAAGTATTATTGGTCCACTTAATAATTGGTTTCAAACTCATATCTTCTGCCTGAGCATCTTTCAGTTGAGTGTTGAATCACATTAGTTCTTCATCTTCACCTGTGGACTATCCATCTTAGACTATAATCTGTTTTACTTTAGGTTGGTGGTCTTGTGTTTCTCTCTTTTCAATTTTCACAGTGTTTGCATTCTTCATTAACATATAGTTTTCACAGTTTCATCCACGGTGATGCATGATGATAAAATTATACTCCTGAAGTTTCTGAAGCCATCTTGCTATTTGGCAAAAATTTGCCAAATACTTCAGTGCTGCTTGATTTGTCTGGAATGTGATCACCTGCCCAAATAGCTAATGATGCAAATGGCTCAGAGCTAATACAAAACTTAGTAGCTCTTTCTGAGTTGTACAATATTTCCTTTCTACAGCATTCATTGCCTGTTATAATAGACTAACACTTGTTCATTTCCATGTTATACGTGCGATAACACTACTTTCACTGCAGCATTACTGGCACCTATAGCTAAAATGAGTGGATGTTCAAGAGTTGGGCATACAATAGTAGGAGTATTGGTTAATTCTTTCTTTAGTTTATTGAATGCTTGTTCACAGTCAGCAGTTCAACAAACGTTATTTGGTTTTTTAAGTAATATATGTAGAAGACGAACTATATCAGTGAATGATTTTACAAAATGACAATAATAAGAGCACATTCTCAGAAACCCTCTTATCTCATGCAGGTTCTTTAGTGTTGGCCACTTTTGAACAAGTTCAATCTTTGATGGGCCTACGGACACTTCTCTCTACTAATTATCTGTCTCAGAAATCACCTGTTGGTGAAACAATTACACTTTTTGGGATTCAGCTTAAAGTTCTCTTTCCTCAAATGATCCAAAACCTTCCTTAGCCCATCACAAGCGTTATCAAAGATCTTTTCATGACTGATTACGTCTCCAGGATAGTTCAGACAGAGCACACTCCATTAATTGTTGTAGTTTAGTAAATACATCGCATAATCAAAGTAGTAACACAACAAATTTCCACAATCCATTTCATGCAGTAAAGAATTTCTTCTCTTAGCTTGCTTTGTTGACTTGCACTTGCCAATAGCCACTCTTCATATTTAATGTTGAAAACATTTTGATCTAGTAAAAACATCCAGAATCAATCCTTGGCAGTGGATTGGTACCATTCTTTGTGACTTCATTTGACTTCTACTAGTACTGAGTTCGTGGTTTCTATTTCTTTGAAAGTCTCAGCCCATTTTGCAAGTGGGAGTTGTCTTGTTAACTGATGTATTGGAACGGCATTCTCAGTGTCAATCTTATGAGATTTTTTTGTTTAGCCTAAGTAATGAGGTTTGTTCAGTGGAGAAGGTGTCTTGATATTGCATGTGCAAGTCATGTGATCTTTGGCATAGTACAGTTGTATGACGATCACAGCTCCAGTCATACAGCTTTTGTAAGAGTTGGTAAGCAGTCCTTATATGAAGATTTGATAGCAGGCTTCTTACATCTTGCCTCAAAGGTGACTACTTCTGATGTTCTTTGATGTGGAAGTACTACCTGTACAGCTTCACATCTTGCAATGTCCCATCCAGACTGTACTTAAATTTCAAAGTTTGTTGTGTTCATTCCATAAAAATGATATCTTTTTTCTTCAAATCCACGAGTTTTTCCAGCCAACTTTCCTTCAGAACACACTGGAGTGCTTGGTTCTACTACACCTATAATGTGTAAAGGTTGAAGATAGCCGTAAAAGGTCTTTTCTTCCAAAATAGTATGATCGATTTAAAGCCCACCGTACGTTGTTGAAGGAGCCCTTTTCAGCAGTGTGACTATCAAACTTTCCATCGCTTCTCTAGGGCATTAGTGATCAGCGCTTGATATAAGTTGTATCCGGGGGCCACTTCAAAATACTGATTCTAACAATTAACTCCTCAAATGAAGGAAAAGATGTCCTGATAGTAGCAGAAACTGTTGGTTAGTTGAATTTTTTATTGCTAATTAGCAGATGGGACTGATCGTCAAAAATTAAAAGAGAGTGTAAGGAATTTGCCTTAAGGATATTTTACATTTCAAAGAATCTTAAGCATCTGGTAAGGGTTTTCGCCCCCCTTTCAGATTCTCCGCTTTGGGTGACTCCGATAGGCATTTAGCCCCCCTTTCAGATTCTCCGCTTTGGGTGACTCCGATAGCCATTTATTTGGACCGCTCTCTGAAAAATCTTGGCTCTGCCCCTCATGGATTGTTTATTACATTAAAAGTTTTAATAACTATAACGTGACGTTTCGACCGTCATACTATACGCCACAATTAGTCTTATTTTAACTTGCTAACTGTTTTAACACTGGTAATGTATTTAGAAGTATCCTCACACTTCTGCAATTCACAGTCCTATTACACAACATGATACATAAAATCTCTCGCTCATATTTCACAATTCTAAGTAATGCCCAAACAAATAAAATAAAATAAATTTATTAAAAGTAATGAAAGTTTGATATGCGTCTTCTTTTCGTTCGTGCCTAAGAGCATCTGATACTGTCCTTTAACACCAGGAACCAGCAGTGGCCTAGTGGTTAGCATGCCGGGCTGCGGTTCTAAAGATATGGGGTTCAACACTTTATGCCGCTGAATATACTCCACACTTTCAGCTATGAGTAGGTTATAAAGGTAACAGTCAATCTCTTTAGGGCTTATAACTCTGGTATCGTTATTCGCAGTGGGCACAGCACAGATAGCCTGATCATTTAGCCTATTTGCACATAAGGTACAGCTGACTTTAAGACTAGTATCCTTATAATTCTGCAAGCTGCAGTTATAAAGATAATACTGGGGATCTATCGCTCAGATTTTCGCGAACAAACCCAACCAGATAAACCTAAAAAAAGTCGAAAAAATAAGTCTGCTTCAAATCTAAAGATATATTTTCCAAAACAGTGGTGTATACTTTTGCGATAGTTTATTTAAATCACGTTTATTACCGTTTTTAACGATTGTTGTTTTGTTAAGCAGAAAGCTACAAAATGAGCTGTCTGTGCTGTGTCCACTACGGCTATTGAAACACGATTTTTAGCGTTATTAGTCTTCAGATTTATCGCTGAGCCACGGGGGACAGATTATGAAAAAGTGTTGACAATTCCTTATGGCACCTAAGTATTTATTCAGGACTATACGTTTATAAGAAGGTGAGAAGAAAGGAATACTTACCTCGTCTTTTTGAACTTGTTGAGGATCTACATCTCCCATAATATAATCCGAAACTCTGTAAATTACAATAATAAATATAAATACAAATATATACCGAATATAGTGCATATTAATACATGAACTTTTGTTTTAACAAATTGGTGAAATTAACACACACACACATATATATATATATATATAATTGTTGGGCCGGGTGTTGCCATGTAGTTAGCATGCCCGAATTGCGCAATCCCGAGATTCAAGGTTCATGGCTCTTTATCTATCTATCTTGCACACAGACAATGCATGTTTTTCGTATCACCAATCTCACATTGTTGAAAGAGAGAGAAAGAAGAATAAAAATAATGCTAGTTTGTGAGAAGAGCAATTGATTTAGAGTGAAGTATGTTACTATTCTGAAATGCTTTGTACTAAGTTTCAAACGTGAATAAGCCCCCCAGTGGCACAGCGGTATGTCTGCGGACTTACAACGCTAGAAACCGGGTTTCGATACTCGTGGTGGGCAGAGCACAGATAGCCCTTGTGTAGCTTTGTGGATAATTAAAAACAAAAAAAAAAACAAAACGTGAATAAATTCACAAGTAAAAGTTAAAGCATCTCCGTTATACGGATTCGTACTACTTTCTCACTTTCAACCGTTTGCAGTTTAATTCATAATGAAAAACCGTGATTATATTACAGACGTGCCTTTAAAAAAAAGAGAGAAAGACAGAGAAGAGATCACAAAATCTCGCGAGTTCATGTTTTCTATTTAAGTTCGGTGTGTTTACGGTGATGTATCAAGTTATCAACTCCATGAAGGCTAAACTAAATTGGAGTCGATAAACGTTATAAACGGTTGATTGCCACAATCAGGACAAGGGAAGTTTCACTTTGGGTCATCAATAAAAGTTAGAGTCTCTCTCAGCTCTTCTATTTACTAAATATACTCGAAAATAGGAAGAAAAACTGCGACTCTTAAATATATAAAATTACTAGACTTGAAAAGAAACATAAGAAATAATTCAAGTAAAATTCTTAATGTTATCAAGGTGTTTAATATTTATATATGCAATATTTTTTCGTAATACCAACGTTAAGATGTCGACACATTTACGAACGCTCTAACGGACAATCAGCCCCTCTTTCTCTATCCTGTTTATACAGACGCGTTAATTAAAATAAATCATGACCTGTGGAAAATTTTCTAGTACTTTTTGGTTTTAGCTATGTTAACATTTGTACATTATAACAGGTATATTTAAAGGTGAGCACAGTTATGCCAGATAAAACATTCATACCTTCAAGACCTGTTAACACGATAGAATGTTGTAATAAACCCAGACATTAGCAGTAACGATTTAACAACAGTAAACAGTTAGGGTTACGATGAATGTCAATCAGTAATACAGACAGTTATTATTTGTCCTCAACCAGGAGGGGTGTACACTTGACGAACTCATGACGATGTAGATATAAAGTACAGCACGCACAAGCATATAAAAATATGTATGTTAACAGTTTATTACTTAGTAGACATAAAGATTAAAATTGCCAACACTTTGTCGTAAACTGGGTGATTATAAAGAAACCCCTATATTTAAAATGTTCATTTCTTAAATAATAGTTGCCTTATAGAGAAAATTAATCTCACCAGAGGCATACTGTGGATCATGCTGTATTCGGGAAAGCTTGAGGGTGGTTAAGGAGTTTGGGAGATTATCAGGCTTCCTTGAAGAATTTACTTGAAAATCGAAATCAACGTGTAAAGAGCCATTCAAAAACAACAGCCTAAATAAATATCTTGGAAATTTTCCACTATGAGCCCCATATAGATGTCAGTGGGGTTTTTGGGGCTTCCAATACTAGTTCCACAAGTTCATATGAACACCTACGTTAACTTTAAATTTTTGAAAATTTCATACTAGGGACCCTCAACAGGGGCTTGAGGTAATTTTTTTAGGGTTCTCATGATAGACTGCACGGGTGAATTATTTAAAAACTGATAACAATCATGTAAATTGTCGTTCAAAATAATGTGCGAAAAATATTTAACACAATTGTTGTTTCCCGCGAGTGTTCACGATAACATCAACACATTAGTAAGGGCTTGTAGCTAAGGGTTTTGTGTCTGAATTTTAAAAGTAATAAATGGTTTTTGACCAAATGTTATACTCGTTTAAAGCACGAGGAAGGCAGAGTAGGGAGTGACATCAATGTCAAGATCAAATCCTTCCCATACTGGGTTAGCACTTACAATTCGGTGCGGAACTTCTCTGGCTTAATTGGCACAAGCGGGTAAGAATGGTGACACGTTCCTCCCGGAGGGGATGCTAGTCCGTCATAAGTTAACCCTCAGCAAACAGCTGGGACCCCCATACAGATAGGTCATAAGTTAACCCTCAGCAAACTGCTGGGACACCCCCATACAGATAGGTCATAAGTTAACCCTCAGCAAACAGCTGGTACCCCCCATACAGCTAGGTCATAAGTTAACCCTCAGCAGATACCTGGTATCCCCCATACAGCTAGGTAGACTGAGACAACTAGTGGAAAGTGTCTTATTCAAGGATACAACAGCATGACGCGAGCCAGCTTCGAACTCACAACCATCCAACTACAAGTCTATAGCGAGAAGCCACTGAGACACACTGCCCGCCCCATCCCCAACAGTGAGATGGGGGATTATACCCAAAAGCCCACCACCTGTGTTACTTCCCGTAGGTTTCTAAGGGTGCGTGTTAAATTTGGTGACGATCGGGCCAGTTGTAAATGAACACAATGCACGGGAAGATATCAGATCCCAAGTTGACCCCCTATGTCACTTCTTGAGGGACCTAAGGATACATGCAAGATCTGGTAACAATCAGTCCAGCGGTCGGCTGGCTTCGAAACCCAGAACGCTGCCACAGGTCCAACCCACGCCCCAAATGAATACCATCGATTTTTATCAAAACATTTCACATACCGTGTCCAAATAAGGATAATCAATGAATTCATCTTTTCTCAATAAGATCCGACATCGTGTATAAGTTTCAAGTTTTAAACATGTTAATGTAAAGCGTTTTTTGTTTTTTAATGATTAGGAAAACACGTAATTAAGAAGGTTCAAGTTCAATGGAAAGGTACATGAAGAGTACGAATCGCTCAAGAATGTCATCCTGATTTTGGACTTGTTATATTGAATGTTTACCAAGTAACGTATTCCCATAACGGAACAGCCTTACCAAAATCAGAAAACTGAAACTCAATCAGGATTCTATTTCAACCTATATACTGGTTGATTGCATTCTACCCTAGATCTGCATATGTTTATATGCTTGCATTTGTTATCGTTTCTATTACCGTTATATTTTTTAAATACATATTTTCAAATCACGACCTATAAATATACAAACGTAACTGCTAAAGTAAATGCCATCTATATATATGTATATATAGATCTACTATTAAAATACTTGTACATTGATAGGAAAACACACTGATACGTAGGGTTTTCAAAAAAAGGCTTTATCCGTATTTGCTTTAATAATATGCTACGTGGGTCAAGCAGTGTTGAATTGATTATAAATTAAGTCAAGCTCGCCAACAAATACAATGACTCCTATATTAAAACACTAGAATGGAAGAAGAAGAACACTCAGGGAAAAAAGAAAACGTGTACCGGGCAACAAATAAAATAGTCCCTATTTTAAGGCAATATAACAGAATAATAAAGATACTCAAGGAGAAAAGAAAACCAGTACTGGGCAACAAATAAAATAGTTCCTTTGTTAAAGCAATAGAATGGGATATTAAAAGCACTCAGGGAGAGAGAGAAGCGTGTTCAGAAAACGTCTGCAAGGCTTAGATAGCTGAAATTAATCACACACACACAAACACACATATGTATGTATATATATATACACTATAAACGCATATAACACATAATACTGAAATGTCTTAAATATTATACATGCATAAGAACCCATAAACTGTACAGTATACAGGTAACAATTCATGTACATTCAGAAATGTGCTATATGTTTATGTAATATCCCAGCATAAACCAAAATGATATTATCACACTAAAACTGTCATAACTAAAACATAATTTATTTATTATGAAATTAAAGATTTGGCTGGAGAGTTTTGCGGATGTTCTAATAAGCTGGTTTCAGTTAGTTAAAAGCTGATCAGCGCTAAGTGTCAGACACTATTATTACGACATTAAACTTTTTAAGTTAATACCTTCGCACACTAACGTAGAAATACCTGTGGTGATATATTTTCTTTTGCTCTTGAGGACGGAAAACTCTCACACAGAATTTCATTATTAAGTTTATGCAATTCAAGAAACACCCCGCCCACAAAAAATCCCCACGTTTCACACAAGAGCCTGTTAACAGTACATCTGTATTTCAACCTTCCTCAGAAACATAGAACAATTTAGCTTTAAACAATATGTGTTTAATATGCATGTAACATGAAAAGCACTGAAATACATGTGGATAGTAAACAATGCTTCAGATTAACACAATCATTTTCAAAATAGGTCTTCCTCAGACTTTGGAATTAGATAAAATATAGCAAGTCATCACGTGACAACCACAGTCCGGTGAAGCGGAATGTATCATAATTACATTTTGACATCGATTCGCGTTAGTGCGATGCTACTAAAAAATCGATCGCTTCTGGGGAGAGTATGTATTAGTCCTTTTCTTTAAGCAGCTGAATAATGAAATGAATATTCAAGTTATTCTATGTAATGACAAATCGGTCAAGTCACTAGATTTTTGTGCGACAGACTACTGAAACTGATACTAGGAAACCGTCGTCCTCATACACTAAAAGGCTTATGGAGTGATTGTATGGAGGAGAGGTATGATTTAGACATACCATCTTTTCAACTGAATTTTTTGCAATGGAAACTACCTTGCAGGACTATTGTCAAAATGCATGGTCGTCAGACAGAGCATGATCAGACGTGACTACATGGACTTTAATGACTTTATGAAGCTCCAAAATCGTTTTAATATAACGCATTCAACCTCTGTATAATTTTCTATCAAATACTTAACACTCAGAGATTTGTTTTAGTGGAAAACTACATCCACTTCAAAATATTTCCTTGCTCAAAGCTTCTTTTGTTTCTGAAAATTAAAAATGTGGCCACGATGGGTCTAATGACCTTTGTTCAGAATATTATTATAATTGTCTATCTCTTTTCAGTAAAAGTCTGGTTATACTCATAATATTTTACACGTACGTCACCAGACTTAGTCTAACAGTTCTGTTTAACAATAATAAAGCCTTCTAGTATCTTTACATGGTTTCCACTGTTGTTGAGTTAACGAAACTCAGTTTTTACTGTCTGTTTTGTAGCTACTAAATTTCTTAGTACCATAAGCACAGAACAAAACTGTGCCGATTCTCAGTAACCGGTTCTTTTAGAAATTCTAAGTGGTGCAGTGCTCCTTTTTTTTGGCAGTCGAAACCGGGCATTTCTTGGCAGTTCAATTTGAATATGCATGAAGAGATACAGTTAATGTGCAGAAAACGTAACATCTCATACAGATTCCATTTATTATATATTCAATATTTCTCTCAATTGTTTATCTTTAGTGTTGTGAATAATTACGTTTCTTTGTTGTCCATTAGTCAAACATTAATTTATCTCCCCTTTTTGGTGTGTCAGTCAAGTATGGCGAAGTATTTAAGTACGCAGAATATCAGATCAGATAAATCAGCGACTGTACCTTTAAAGTTGTGTTAATTATTTTATTGAATGTTCAAGGTTTACTAATTTCAGTTTTATGCAGCCCAATATTTCTAAATTAATTTCAATATCTCAGCTATTTTTTCACGTAATACTTTGTAACATCTATGATATCATAGCTATCTATGATATCAACGTAAAATTGGTTTTATTAAATTGCTTGAGAGACTGCAGGGACAAATACTCCATCAAACGAGAACAAAGAAACAACTTTTTATCAACGAAAGCAATAACATGATCTATCCGTTTTTTTATTTGAGAAATATCTTTCTTTAGTTATCATGAATAAGGAAAGGTATATCAAAGAAAATGAAAATAAATAAATTTATCCGATATGTTTTAAAGATATAGATGTTTCTTATGATTAAAAGGGTCATGTATGTTGGATAAGAGTGTATGTGAAGTAAGAATTTACATAAACTTTTACATTTTCAAGACGCATGAAACTTACGTTATACTATAAAGCGTCATGAATGAACTGTTCTCCAAGTGCTGAATTATTAAAACAATCATATCACGTGCTTTCTCTGAATCTAAATGTTCCGTGTGTTGAAACAAACACGTAACAATACAGTTTTTCCTAATATCGGACAGGAGAAAACACACAACAACGTCACAAACAGACAAGAAAAAAACACACAACAATGCCACACACAAACTATCATGAAAAGTTAAAACCTACCCCTCAATAAATTCCACTGGGAAGCAAGACGGCATAATGGGATGGATGCAAAACTTCATTATTAAGGCTTGAACCAAATTATATACCATAAAACCTTGGTGAAGTAGCGGGGGCCGTTTTATCTATAATAAGGAAGCCTTGTTTATAAACACATCGATAAGTAATAGCTTGCAGGTTCTCCGTAATTTCTGCAGAAACAGTGTTTATAAACAGTGAAAAACACGCTTCTGAAAAGGCTCAATACACCACTACATAGCGTCTGTGGTATTCACAAAGAAACAATTTCCACGTCCTCAGGCTAATATCAACAGCTTTCTTGTTAGATATTCCGTGGTGACTTTTTTCTTTTTTTTCAGACATACAAACACTGATTATTGTCACTTTTGATCCGTGACAGTATACAGTTAAGGTGTTTCTTTCCTGTGCAAGTCCCTTGTCGATGTCTCTTTCAATAAACCTCACAATTTAAACAAACACAAATATGTATTCATTATTCTGTTAGTGTCAGGTTTTATAGAATCCATGCTTTATAGTTTAACATAATGTAGTCTTCCCATAATAACGGTCCAAACATCTTCTTCACAGAAAACACTCCAAGCTACAATTGTATTTTACAAGTTATTCTGTTTTATTAGCAATATCCAAACTACCTGAATTAGGAACAGAACTCTATCACATGTCGTATATAGTATAAATTCAACGAATTTTCCAGAAATATTCTAGTACGAACGACAAATGAGGCGTAGCAATGCTTCAACTCTGAGGCCACGTGCTTAGCAATTAATATAGGCTTACTATGATTCTAAGAAATTGTTTTCTTACTTTCCCACGCTCATGTAAACAAAAGTGACAGGTGGTTTGACTTCACAATGCTTACGATATGTTTCTGATTTTTCCAACACAAAATCTTTAAATACGAACCATAAAACAGGGCAGTGGCGTGGTTTAACTACGTACACATACTGAATAGTCTAGATGGCTGTATAAACACCACTGTTACTTTCTACATAATGCATGTCGAAGTCAGCTTCTCTACGTCCGTATCCCTAACGCTCCAAGAGACCAATATATATCTTTTACATGGAGGTCACGAAAGCGAGACCAATTACTTTCCTATCTGTGTCGTAAAGGGGTGCACGTGGCGAGTCAACGATTTGTTGTCGAGTGTATCAAAACCAATGTAATTAGTGCGCGTAGAAGTTGTATTTAATATAACCAATATTGTATAATTTCTTTAAAAAAGACAATGAGATAAAAAAGGATCAACGTTATACTACAAACAACACGTATTATGGTAAGTAATGCGATACAACTTTATAATAAAACAGTCAATTAATTTTTTACTGGTCTAATACGGGATTTTAAAATGTGATAAGTTCATTTATTATATTCTCATTCCAGGGCAAAAACTGAAGTAAACAGTGAATATTTCAGCTGATAAACACCAGTGGGGCTCAAACCAATTAGACCGGTCATGGCTTAAGGCTACAGACCATAGGGTCCGAGGTTCGAGACAAAATGCCTCTGAACAAGTTCCGCACTTTTAGCTATGGACGCATCATAAAAGTAATACTCAACACCCTTATCCTATTTTAAAAGATGGATAAGCCCTTGCGGCGTCGGGTGCTGCTGGCTGCTTTCCCTCTGGTCTGTAGTTTACAATTAGGGACAGCTATATTTTAAGGGTCCGTGACCTAGCCTTTTAGAAAACGTGCACATAAGTTTGAAAATTCCAATCTTTAGCACATTTTAAATCATTGTGATGCTCAAGTACATATGATACAAAGATCAAATATTCCAATACTAATGATGCTTAGTTTTCTTCAGATGTAAGAATCATTAGAATAACATTAAGATGTATTAAAGACGCTAAACGTGAGCGAGAACTGACGAGAATACGAAGTTGTTCACTAACAAAATATACGACGGATACTTTTGTATTTGACGACATCAAACATTACGTACAGTGTGCGACATGCAAAAGCTACACTAAATTAAGTGTGCTAACGTAAACGACACACTGAATTAATTTTGCCACATACGTCAGCATGGCTATCCTCGCTGGCTGTAAGATAACCCATAGCTACCAAGAAGTCAAAGTACTGCTATTTTAGAAGAACATGATATTCAAATAAAGAAAAGGGCAGGCTGTTACATGGAGCTATAGCTTACAATTAGAATTATGATTCAAAGCAAATTCGACTAAAAATGATCTCAGCCTATGCACACTGCAGCCGCAAAACTTTACGTGAAGAAAATGAGTGCACAAACGAAATATTCAAGGCTAGAAATTAATACACTTTGTTACAGAAATAGGTAGTAATGCCCAGCATGACCAGTAAAGATGCCACTAGCAATACTTATTGAACAATAGCATATTGCTTATAGATTTAATTAAAAATACCGACAGATTGAAATACGTGTAAGTCAGTATACAAAAAAAAAATCAGATATTAAAAAATTGAAATAAAAACAGATAGATCGAAACTCTTACAAACATATAATTGTATAGAATGATTTAAATAGAAGAAAACAGATAGAGAGAAAGGTATAGTAACAATTACTCGTAAGACAATCAGATATAAAGATACAGAAATAACGTAAACACCAAACTGACAGATACACAGACATTCAAACACGCAGCAAAATGTCGATTCCATATTTAAAAATTCAAGTAAGACTCCATATTCAATTAATAGTAGTCCAAACACTCTTGTTTCAGTCAACATAAAACAAATAGCTGACATTCTATTCAACCATTACCCACTCCTGTCTAAAAGTTCCCCAGTGGGACAGCGGTAAGTCTTCGGATTCACAATACTAAAATCAGGGGTTCTATACCCCTCGGTGGACACAGTAGATAGTCTGATGTGGTTTTATTATAAGAAAACACAAATATACACTTGCCTGAAATTTAATGGAAAACCCACAGCTTACATTCTATTTAATAATTACTCACTGTTGTCTAGACGTTAACAGAAAACCCTCAACTTACATCCTAATCAACCATTACTCACTCTTGTTTGAACGTTAACAGGAAATCCATAGCTAAAAGAAGTGCGCACCAGTCTAACCAGAGAGATTTTTACAACAGCATCTTTTAGATTTTGAGACAAGGTAATGCTAAATCATGGTTGTATTCTTGGCTGTAAAAACAAAAGACCGACACCAGATAGTCCGACTCTCATCTTCTAAACAACGAAAAGGTTGTACAAGAATGGCGCCATTAACTGTCCACGAATATTACAAAACTGGGTATCAGCTCACTCGTTAAACTTTGAAAGGATGATTACCAGAAAAATACTTGCAAATATTTAGCATTTGCTTCATCGTTATACGTATATGTAAATTAAGTGCATTAATGATTCTGCTATTTATCAGTTTAAATAACAGTTATAAGTACTGAAACTCTACATGAGTTGACAGGTTTTAAAAAGACTAACAGATTTACTGGACTCTGTTATTAATCTGGCTTATTTTGATGCTAAGGATTCTAAGCACTGTTCTTTCATTACTGAACATTAATGTATTTGAAAATTAGAACGAATGAAATTATAGTTCATTGGTGAATGCCTTTTCTGTTAGTTGGCTATTTGCCTCAACGCTTTCAATAATCCATCTTTAAAAAAAGTTCCTTTCAAGCATATTATACTCAAGTTACAATTTAATACTTTTATGTTAGTATAGTTACAAGCAATTTTTTTACAAACAAAAGAAGCTGTAATACAAACTTGAACGCAAATGATAAAAATAAAATATCTCGTATTAGGGTTAGCGTGCTGGACTGTGGATCCGAGGTTCGCACCCCGTTAACGAAAAAAAAACCAACAATAACAACAACATCGCGCTCTAAATTTTGGAATCGTAGGTACATTATAAGAGTGACAGTCAAATCCCATTATTTTATTAGAGTAGTCCACGAATTGGCGGTGGGTGTGTTGACTAGCTGCCTTCCCTCTAGTCTATCACTTCAGCCCCCCAGTGGCACAGCGGTATGTCTGCGGACTTACAACGCTAGAAACCGGGTTTCGATACCCGTGGTGGGCAGAGCACAGATAGCCCTTGTGTAGCTTTGTGCATAATTAAACAAACAAACAAACAAACTATCACTTCAAAATTAAGGAGGTAGCTTTCGAGTAGTTTTGCGCGAAATTCAAGAAACAATAGCATAGTTGTTACTTGTTTCGTTTACTTGTAGGTGCGTATTTAGTTTGAATATGTATAAAACTATAAATGAAACACTCATGTACTACATTACACACACACAATGATTATATAATATTATTTAATATTTAGATAGCATAGTTGTTACTTGTTTCGTTTACTTGTAGGTGTGTATTTAGTTTGAAGATGTATAAAACTATAAATGAAACACTCATGTACTACATTACACACACACAATGATTTATATAATATTATTTAATATTTAGATAGCATAGTTGTTACTTGTTTCGTTTACTTGTAGGTGCGTATTTAGTTTGAAGATGTATAAAACTATAAATGAAACACTCAAGTACTACATTACACACACGTGTACACAATGATTTATATAATATTATTTACTATTTAGATTATGATTGCAAAAGAATGCCATTTCCAGTTCTGTCCCCCAGAGAAAAAGAAGAAAAAAAAACTCACTTATTCAAAGCAGTGATTTTCAGTTTGTATTTTACGATTTGATTCGACGACGAAAATATATATGAACATTTCGTGAAATACAAAAATATAAATCGTTTTTTTTTGGAGGGGGCACAATTTTAACATTACTGTAATAAGCAGTATTCGTCAAAAACAGTTGAATGACTAGTTTTGTGAGAGCTCCTAATCTGTTGTCGACGGCAAACAGATGAGCTGAAAAAGGAACAGATCACTCTGCTGAATACAACCACGGAATTTCACACCTGTTGTCTCTAGTCACATAATCTCTGTTCCGTTGGCGCACAACAGATTACGATTGTTTTTGCGAAAATTCCAATTGGCAACTTTCGAGTATAGAATAGTAAATCTGAATGCATTATATCATGACAGTTACAAAATAATAGTAAATCTGAATGCATTATATCATGACAGTTACAAAATAATAGTAAATCTGAATGCATTATATCATGACAGTTACAAAATAATAGTAAATCTGGATGCATTATATCATGACAGTTACAAAATAAAATCCCTATAGTTAGAAGCTCACAAAAAAAAGAAGAATCATATAAAAAGGACAAAAAGCAAACATATTAACGTATCCAGAAGTCCCCCGGTGGAACAGCGGTAAGTGTTCGGGTATACAACGCTAGAATAAGGGGTTCGATTCCCCTCGGTGGTTTGTTTGTTTTTTGAATTTCGCGCAAAACTACACGAGGGCTATCTGCGCTCCCCTCGGTGGACACAACAGAGAGTCCGATGTGGCTTTGCTATAAGAAAATACACACTCTATATAAAACATTTTGATCCCCAGTGGCACAGCGGTATGTCTGCGGACTTACAACGCTAGAAACCGGGTTTCGATACCCGTGGTGGGCAGAGCACAGATAGCCCATTTTGTAGCTTTGTGCTTAACTTCAAACAAACGTATCGGGATAAATAAATACACATGTGTAGTACACAAAGTATATTAAAAACCTGACAGACTGATATATATATATATATATAAACGCATAAACTTATATCAGTTGCAATTATATAGATATAAGGTAAAAGCTAAGCATGGAACTATAGGCATAGACGAATATAATGTGGCTGAAAATAAGGTCTAAACATCCAGAACAAAATTAAATAAATATATATAAAAATGGGAATAGAGAGGTAACGAGACATATAAAATAACATGCAGCACACGTTATATAAATTTATAGTTAGTTGGAAGTTAAATATGCGGATGGATACGACTTTACAATTTAATAAGAACGATCAGATTTTTGTTTTTATTACTTACATGATTAGTTCGGTCTTATCACCCGCATGTTGCTGCTGGAAATATGTAGCCAAATTAGCAGCGTAGTGGGGTG